GAAAAAAAAAAAAAAAAAAATACTACTACTACTACTACTACTACTAATAATAATAATCACACAGCCATGACAAATGTAGCACTTCCCTGACTCTTGGGCCCTAACTTGTAACTAACTTGTACAGCCATGCAGATCAGCCCAGCACTAGCAGGTTTCACCATGCAGACACAAGAGAAGGTAAGCCTGTCCAGGAAAAAGCAAGCAGGACAGGGGTGACCAGAAGTAGACCCGTGAAGGCCTAGAGAACCTCTGTACCAGTAACCCCAACTTGGAATCAGCACTATTTTGTGGGCTCCAAGCCAGCTTGGGTCCTTAACCCTAAACTAACACTGACAACTCCCATGAAAGCATGGTCCATACACACCTGAGTCCTTTGGAGAATTACAATAACCTCTGAGCCTCAACAAAACCAGTGATGGAACCCAAGAGAACAAGGAGAATCTAAGAGCAGAGAACCTAAAGGTAACTATAATAGGAATAAATCAGAAAAAAAAAATTAATAATGAAAAAAGACTCCCATCTCCCATAAAGAGAAAAAAACAACGCTGTTTAACCTTGAAAAAAAACCTTTTTTTGAGACAGATTCACTATGTAGTTCAGGCCAACCTTGAACTCACAATAGCCCAAGCTGACCTCAAACTCACAGCAATCTCACTGCCTCAGCCACCCAAGTGGAATCACAGGTGTGCCACCACACCTGGCTTTTCTGGACTATTTTAAAACAGCAATGAGATTGCAAGAGCCTATGCTGGGACAAAGACTTCAATAAAAGGAGCTGTGGACAAAAAAATAAAATAAATAAAACAGCAATGATAATCATTATACAAGATGCTAACAAAAAGCTATCCTTGCACTGGGGATTTAGCTCAGTGGTTCTGCCACCTGCCTTGCAAGCTCAAGGTCCAGAGTTTGATCCCCAGGACCAAAAAAAAAAGCTATCCTTAAGCCAGAAAGATGGGAAGAAAAAGGAACCGGACTCTAACTTTTCCCTTTGTAATTTGGCATTAATTATTTTTCCCCTCTGAGACAGGACTGCACTATCTGTCCCACTGGCCTCATTTTCACAATCCTCCTGCCTCAGCGCTGAGATTATAGGTATGTGCCATCATGCAAAACCTTTGGCATCAATTCTAAAACTGAAATAGTATTTTTAAGATTATTCATATAGGAGGCTAGATTTGAGGCTCCAAATACCCAAAACTTTATTCTCTAAATCTAAAAGACTTTCAGTAGAACCCAGGAGCCACAGGTCTTAAAGGGAGAGTTACAGGCTCATGTAACCAGTGAAGAAGAATGTGGAAAGCCCTGGCCAAAAACACCAGAGCACACAGCCTGCAAGACTTAGAATAGGCATGGTGCTGTCACCTGCCTCACAAGGGCAACATCCCTGAGTTTGATCCCCAGTACCAAAAAAAAAAATTTACAACAAGCAGGCCTTGGGGATCTGATCTAGCAACACCACTCTGGGGCGATGCACAAGAAAGAGCTTGCTCTCAGCCTCTGCTCAGTGAACTGCTGATAATGAATTCCATCCTTTCCTTCCGATAAGAGACAGTACTCCTTATCCCCATCAAGGCCAAAGCCCCTTAATTCCACAGAAATTCACTATCAGTTATGTCCAATCACACTCCTATGTCTCAACCTCTCCCTCTCTGTTAGCTGTTGCTCAAGGGCTGGGGATGTAGCTCAACATGCATGAAACCCTGGGTTCGATCCCCAGCACTAAAACACAACAAAAATTCCTTTGATCCCTTATCTCCTCTCTTCCACAGGCAAACTTGTAGAAAGAGCTGCCTATCTCCTTGTGTCCCACTTCTCTGCTCAAGGTCACCAGTGACCCACATGACCCAAATTCCAAAGGACTTGTTTGTATCCTTATCTTACTTGGCAAGCCAACCATTCCTTCTCAACTATGTTCTGCCCTTGACTTTTACGACCCCACCTCCCCCTATTCTATCTCCTGGGATCTCACGGTCAATCTAATAACCACTTCTTCCTCTGCCGAAGCCCCCTAAGTCAGTGCTCCTTGGGGCTCAGGATTCAGCCCTCAGTTCTTCTGACTACACATTCCCCCTAACTCTCCAATACATTTCTCTATGCTAATGACTCCCAGATCTACTTCTAGTCTATACCTCATTCTTAGCTCCACAGCCACAACTACTTCCAATCTTAACCATCCTACAGGCCCTCTGAATGGTCACACCTAAGGCTAAATTCTCATCTCCAAGGCTACAACATGACTTCTGCATTGGTATAAAGACAAATACAATAAAGCTTCAGTTATTGCTACAGTCTGATTTTTTTGTTGTTGTTGTTTTTTTGAGACAGGGTCTCACTATGTAGTTGAGACTAACCTGGAACTCACTATGTAGCCTCTCGAACTCACAACGATCCTCCTGCCTCAGTCTCCTGAGTGCTGGGATTACAGGCATGCACCACGACGGCTGGCTACAGTCTGATTTTAAAAGGAACTAACAGCCACTGCTGCAGCAGGAGGTAAAGGAGTCTCTGAACCACAGTTGGTATAAAGCAGAGACTGCCTGCAAATCAACCCAGGTCAACAGAAGCAAAAAGACTACAAGTCACTTGCAAGAGTGCACCTTCTGCTGGAGACACAAAGATACTTCACTGTGATAGACCTGGCACTGTGGCACTCTCCCTTCAGCATCTCATCTGGTATGAAAAATTGTTCAGGACTTCAAAGCACAGCTGTTGGTGCTTGCAGGAGACAAGCAAGCATGACCAATCATGTTGGTCTTTTTGAAACCACCAACCGGTGTGCCGCTGTTGCCAAATGTGTAAAGATTAGGCCGGTACATCCAGTAAGTAGCATGCCACACAGGTGGTAAACATGCCTGAGAATTCACTAACGTGGGAAACACTTCATTCACAAAAGGAAGGAAGGAGGTTCAGGGACTTAGGTCAGTGGTTCCAGCACCTGCCTCACAAGCACAAGGTCCCAAGTTCAATCCCTGGCACCAAAAAAAAAAAAAAAAGGAAAGGAGGGAGGGAGAGAATAAATGTATACATACAATCTTTCTATTACTGGTAGCTCTAAATGTTAGTTCCCCCACCACCACCATGGTGTTAAAAGGTAGGTATGGTTGTGAATGGAAAACAGATGACAGGAATCAGGTATTGGCAGTTTTTCTATTTTTACTTGTGTGTAAATTCTATTTATTTATTTTGGTACCTGGGATCGAACTCAGGACCTTGTGCTTGTGAGGCTGGCACTGAACCACTGAGCTAAATACACCCATTTTAATACAAATGCACATATGGAAAGCATTAAAGCAAGTTAAGGGCCAGGAATTTAGCTCAGTGGTTCCACCACCTGCCTCACAAGTCCAAGAAAGAAAAAAAAAGACATAAAAAGCAAGTCATTTATGTTTGCACAGTTCAACTTTGTAACAAACATAAACTTTACTATAATAATTGTTACAAACTTCATAGCAATTATAAATAAGCCTGTTAAAGCTGGGTGTGGCGGCGCATGCCTGTAATCCCAGCACTTGGGAGGCTGAGGCAGGAGGATCGCTATGAGTTCGAGACCAGCCTGCACTACATAGTGAGTCCAGGTCAGTCTCAACTCCACAGTGAGACCCTGTCAAATAAATAAATAAATAAATAAATAAATAAGCAAGCAAGCAAGCCAGCCAGCCTGTTAAATTACTCTGAACTCTTGTTTTTTGTTCTCTTTTTGAGATAGAGTCTTGCCAGGTTTCCCAGGCTGGCCTTGAATTCCTGGGCTCAAGTGATCCTCCCACCTCAGCCTCCCAAATACCTGGGACACTACAGCAGGCATGCACCACCATGCCCAGTTTCGATGTATTTTGTTTTTGTTTTTGTTTTGGTACCGGGGATAGAACTCGGGTCCTTGTGCTTGCAAGGCAGGCGGCGGAACCACTGAGCTAAATCCTTGGCCCTATGTGTTATGTATTTTGTATTTTGCTTTTTGTTTTTGCTTCTACAGGGCCTTCACACTGAGCTACATCCCAGCCCTTTTTAAATTTTGAGACAGGTTCTCACTGAGTTGCTTCTAGAATTTGTAATCCTCATGTCTCAGCCTCCCAGATTATAGGTGTGTGCCACACCACCCAGCTAACCAACTAAATGTTTCTTAAAACAAGTAAATTTCTTATAAATGGGTATTTATAGCATTTTCATCATACAGTAGGTGCCATCCAGTCACTATATTTCTTAGTTTACCTAAACATAAATATGTTTTTAATTATGGCTGTCTTGTGTTGTGACCCTGTAAGTTTGCTATTCAAATATATTAAATCATTTTTACTTTATTTATTTATTGGGGGGGGTTCGAGACAGGGTCTTACTATGTAGTTGAGATTGACCTGGAATTCACTATGTAGCCCAGGCTGGTCTCGAACTCACAACGATCCTCCTGCCTCAGCCTTCCGAGTGCTGGGATTACAGGCGTGTGCCACCATGCCCAACTATTAAATCATTTTTAAAAAGGAATTAAAACATTTTAGAGCCCCTAAAATATCATGGGCCAGGTGACTATATCATTATCTCCCTTCCACCAAATGTTGATCTTTGCTATCTCAGTAAATGGTGCCATCATTCACTCACCTCGTCCATTTTTGAAATTTCAAGTTCACCTTAAGTTCTCTCTCCCCACATGCAATCAATCCAAAGTCTACTTGTAAGACTTAAGTATCTCTGTAAACTACCTATTGATTCCCATCCTACACACTCAAACACCCAAGATCAGTCCATAATCTTCTGTCTAGTGACCTACAATAGCTTTCCCACTGGCTTCCCTATCTACAGCCTCCTACCAGCCCTCCATGGATTTTCTATAACGCTACACCTGTCACTCCCACTTAACATATTTCAAAACACCAAGTATGGTAGAATAAACCCATCATCACAGCTATTCAGGAGGCTGGGGCAGAAAGAATACAAGTCTGAGGCTAGCGTGGGCAACTAAGTGAGATCCTGTCTCAAAATAAAAAATAGCTGGGTGTGTGGCACATGCCTGTAATCCCAGCATTCGGGGGGCTGAGGTAGGAGGATCACCATGAGTCCGAGGCCACTTAGGCTACATAGTGAGACCCTGTCTCCAAAAATAAACAAATAAATAAAAAATAAAGCCAGGTGTGGTAGAAGGAAAAAAAGGAAAGCTTTTGTATATAAGGAGGGGAAGAAGGATTGAGGGGAGGGAGGAATGGGGAAAAAAAGAGGCAGGATAATATATTGTGTACAAGTGTAAATTCCCTATGATGAGTGTTACCATTATGTATATCTAAAAATATACCAATAAATGTTGTGCTTTAAATTTAAAAAGGCAGGTGTGATGGTGCACACTTATAATCCCAGAACTCTGAGAGGCTCAAGACAGGAAGAACACAAGTTTGAGCCCAGCCTAGGTACTTAGCAAGACCCTGTCTCAAAAATTAGAAAGGGCTAGGATGTAGCTGAGTGCCAAAGCCTTCAGTTCCATCCCTAGTACCACAACAGAAACAGGCCTTCCATTCCTAGTCTCTACCCCGCTCTCCAGCTTGTCTCTCACCATCATCTCCCAGTTTCCCACATTCCCCACTGATCCAGCCATGCTAAACTCTTCTCAAGACCTGGCCTACTCTTTGCTCCCAGAATGTCATTCAGGCTGTTCCCTGTATCTACAGTATTTCTTACTCCCTTCGCCTGGCTAATCCCTCATACCTTTCAAATCCATGGCCCCTGGAGTGAGATCCTCCCCAGCTTCTTTTAGGCCCCTGTTGCCACAGTTGCAGTTAAATAAGACAACCAGAACAAATCCTGAATGAAAACTAGCTCAGGTGGCCACAGATTGTTTTAATATCATTTAAAAAAATTAAATGTATTAGGCCGGGAATTTGCTCAGTGGTTCCACCGCCTGCTTCGCAAGCACAAGGTCCTGAGTTCAATCCCCAGTAACAGGAAAAAAAAATTATCTAGTGTTTTATATATAGAAATAGATGGTAAAACTATCACTAAACACAAAGGATGGGAACACAGTTCAGCACTATGCTTCCCTCTGAGGTAGGGAAAGATAATGGAAACAGCAATGTTCTAGTCTTGATGGGATATAGAGGTGTTAATTAGGTTTTATAATTTACACATGTTCCATATATATATATATATTTGTATGTATGTATTTTTTGGGGTTTTTTTGTTGTTGTTGTTAAACTGTTTTTGAGACAGGGTCTCACTATGTAGTTGAGACTGACCTGGAACTCACTATGTAGTCCAGTCTGGTCTTGAACTCACAGCGATCCTCTTCCCTCAGCCTCTCAGTGCTGGGATTACAGGCATGCACCATCACGCCTGGCTACATGTTCCATATATTCTTTTGTACTTATTAAATATTTAACTAGCCTCAATTATACATCAAACATATTGCTGGGGATGTAGTTCAGTGCCGTAGTACCTACCTGGCAAAGCCCTGAGTTCAATTCTTGGTACAAAAAAAAAAAAAAAATTCCCATTTTTTTCCTTTAAAATATCCCGTAGAAAGCCTGGTGAAAAAAGCTTTGGAGTTAGGGAAATAATGCACAGAACCTGCCATAGTAAGAGAAAAGCTACAAGATTCTAGTACTCCAAGAAGCCAATAACAGTGCCCACTCTGGCAGCACATATACTGAAACTGGAATAATACAGAGAATATTCAGCATTCAAGGAAGCCCTAAAAATTCAAAAAGCAAAAACAAGGGCAGGGGATTTAGGTCAGTGGCTCCACGCCTGCCTCGAAAACATCTCCAATACAAAAAAAAAAAAAAAGCAAAAACAAGCTGGCTATGGTGGTGCATACCTACAATCCCAGTACTCCAGAGGCTGAGGTAGGAAGATTGCCATGAGTTCAAGGCCAGGCTGGGCTACACAGTGAGTTTAAGGCCAGCATAAACTACATAGTGAGGCCTTGTCTCAAAAAACAAAACAAAGGGTCGGAGATTTAGCTCAGTGGTTCCGCCACCTGTCTTGCAAGCCCAAGGTCCTGAGTTTGATCCCTGGTACCAAAAACAAAACAAAACAAAAGCTATAAGCAGAGTCAAAAGACAGTTGCCATGAGGATCCTGATTCTTTTTTGGTACCAGGAATCAAACTCGGGACCTTGTGGTTGAGAGGCAGACAGGGAAACCACTGAGCTAAATCCCTGGCCTGAGGATTCTGATTCTAACACCCTTCCACACTACCCTGCTCTTCTGTAGGAATCTGAGCCAACTAAGATCTGGTACCCACACAATCATAAAGAAGGGAGGGCTCCAAGTGAGAGAAACATCTCTCAGCAGGTCACAGAAGCTGTGAACAGGCTGGCATTCTGTAAAGATGCAGTCTATTGAGTAGGAACAGTCTGCTAAGCCAAAACAATTTGACAGACATGCATAGGCAAGTTGCAGTTCTGACTTACATGTTGACTGCTATCCAGACAGGGTGGTCGATTGATTAGCTGAGTTAAAGGTTTCCGAAAAGGAGACAGGAAACACTGTTCAATCTGGGTATCACTGCTGGATTTCCGTTTCTTAGGTGTCTAGGAAAGAGAAATGGGAAAACTGAAGTCTGGATGAGCACAGAGATTAACCTAATGGCAACCAGCATTTAAAGTGCTTCTTAAAGCTGGGTGTGGTAGCATACATCCCAGGTACTTGAAAGCTTGAGGCCAGAGAATACCTCCAGTCCATAAATTTAATACCAGACTAAAATAAAGCAACATAGCATAACTCTATCTCAAAAAAGGTGGCAAGCCAAGTGCGGTAGCACACACTGGTACTCAGGAGGCTGAGGCAGAAGGAACATCACAAATTCAAGACCAGCTGGGATACACAGTGAGATCAAGGCCATCTTGAACTACACAGTGAGACCCTGTCTCAAAAACCAAAAAATAAGCTGGGCGTGGTGGTGCACACCTGTGATCCCAGCACTCAGGAGGCTGAGGAAGGAGGATCGCTGTGAGTTCGAGACTAGCCTGGACTACAATTATCTCAAAAAAGGTGGCAAGCCAAGTGCGGTAGCACACACTGGTACTCAGGAGGCTGAGGCAGAAGGAACATCACAAATTCAAGACCAGCTGGGATACACAGTGAGATCAAGGCCATCTTGAACTACACAGTGAGACCCTGTCTCAAAAACCGAAAAATAAGCTGGGCGTGGTGGTGCACACCTGTGATCCCAGCACTCAGGAGGCTGAGGAAGGAGGATCGCTGTGAGTTCGAGACTAGCCTGGACTACAAAGTGAGTTCTGGGTCAGCCTCAGCTACACAGTGAGACCCTATCTCAAATAAATAAATAAAATTTTAAAATAAAATAAAATACTGTACTTGAGCATGAGCAAGAATTCAAAGGGTATCAGTCCCATAGAATCTTAAGTGAGCTCAGAATCTTAAGGTAGGCTCATAACACGCTTATGCTTCTGTGACACTGGCTAAAGGACAAAGAGTAAAACAGGAGGCTGCTAGTTGCTACTGTGGAGACCCTAAGAGTCAAAGGACCCAACCTAACCTGCTCTTTGGCTTATTTCTCCCACCAGGAAAAATGAAGCTACTGAGAGGCCAAAGATTTTATTAATCTTGTTCAATGCCTGGCACATAGTAAGCATTCATTAAAAGTGTACTGAACATGGGCCAGGGATTTGGCTCAGTGGTTCAGCCGCCTGCCTCCAGGGCGCAAGGACCCAAGTTCGATCCCTAATACCAAACAAAAAGTTCACTGAACATATGAAAGAGACTTCTGGAGGTGACTATAAATTCCCAGAAACCAACTCCAGGCTTCCTTTCTGCACCCCAGCTCTACTATCACCCTAGCACTCACCACTGTCCCAGGTTGCCAATCTTCATCATCAGAGGACCTGCCCTCTGGTTTTCTCTTGGCCAGTTGGCTGGGAGCTAAGCTCTTCCTCTGTTAAGGGAGAATGAAAAGTGAGCACCTGCAGAAATTCTTCGGCCTGGGTCCATTAGACGCAGGCAAAGGGTTCTTCCCAGACTCCCCTAAGCCCACACTTACCATCCTGGCCCCAGGAGCTTAATATGTTAAGTACCCATGGGCCAAAAGTCCAAAGCATTCAGCAGTAGAGAATGCAGGAGCAGGGCACGTATAAAGACACTGCTACATCATCGAGAAAATAGTCCAATTAAAGAGGGACTATGGCTGGAGAGAATCCAGCCAGGGGCTGGGGAATGGGTCCAAACTGAAAATGTTGGTAGCCAGTGAGCCAAGGGAAGGGATGAAGCCAAAGGGGAAAAGTCCAGGGAGAGACAAGCCTAGGGTAGGGGAGGAGGCAGATGGACACCCAGATTGGGCAGGGTTGAGTCTGGATAATGGTCTCAGTAGGGGTGGAGAGCTGATAAATCGCAGGAGGGGGTAGAAGAGGGGTTAAAGCCCGAGGCCCAGGGAGGGCGAGGCACCTGAACCTGGAGGGGGATTTCCCCGGGCGGGAGAGTAGTGCCAGTCTAGACTGAGGAAAATCGGGGAGGGAGGCAGGAAGGACCAATAAGACTCAGGAGGTGCGAAAACAGCGGCCGGGACGGATCGACGGCCACGCACCTCTCCCCCATCCTTCCTCTTCCCAAAGCGCGCGTTAACAGCCGCCAGGCCGAATCAATCGAACCTCCCGCCACTCTGCCC